GGAATTTTAGACGGCAATTTTGGGGTTTAGTTGACTAGACATTGTTGCTGTTGCTGTTGCAATTGCCAGACAGACTCCTTTTTCCTTTAAGATGGTTGCCAGCAGGTTCTTGTAAGGCAAACTATAAGGCATCTGTGTAATTCTGAAGCTAAAATTTAGGTGACATATAGCATTATATCAGAAAACTATGGAATGATAAATCTAGGGGAAAAGAATTTACCACGAAAAAACAGATGGGGGAAATAAAAACCTCTTTTGCTAAAACAGATTAGGGCTGCTTCCAGTAACAGACAAGTGTCCTATTGTTTTTTAAAAGTAATCTTTGGTTTTTTCATTGTATGAATACTTCATTCTTTATAGCTAGATTAACCTACTGAGTCTAACTACATTTCATCCTTCTAGAGTGATTCTTATCGATAATTTCACATTCTAGATATAACTTTTGGCTTATGAGAAGGATAGCTTTTAGCAGACTTTAGGTGTTTGTAGTACATGTTATTATCTTCTTGACATTTATAAATTTATGGTGCCTGCTATCACAAAAGTTGAGCAAAATTAAACACTGCTGAAAACCATAGATTAAGGCAAACCTAAAGAGAAAAAAAAAAAGAAACATAAAAGCCTTTTGTGGTTATTTCCAGCATACCTTTGTAATGCTACAAGTGGCCCAGATAAGTGACTGAATGTAACAAGGGGCAGAAACAGGAGAAAGGAAGATCCCCATACACAAATTGAGAAGACAGCAGAAGATGCAAGTGACTCTTGTACTTATATGAAGCAATATAATCATTTGGGCTATCTTATTTACTGTTAGCAAGTCAGATGCCATGAATGAGTCAGATGCCATCAGGGTATAAAAACATCTCATTTGTTTTCATAAATTACAGTATTTTGTGGGCAACCACAAATAAAGACTTATTACCAAGGGATACTGTTTATGTGCCAAGACTGGCACACCATCAAATACAGAGAGATAGGGAAGCAGAAGAAACAGTCCTGGTACCCACCCAAGAAATGACTACACAGGAACTGAGTGAAAAGGAAGGCTAGAACATGCCAACTCAGGCCAGGGAAGACAAAGAAACCTGAATCCTGCAGTGACTGGGGCATCTTTAAATGCTGAGAATACAGATAGTTTTATCAACACAATAAGCTTGTAGATACTGACATACTTCAAAGAATCATACTATTATAAACAAGCTTAGGATGAGAAGTTCCAAAACAAAACAGCCCACGATGAAAATTAGATGAGTACCACGACAGCTCTAAATGGCTGCCATTTCTCAGCAGAGTGGTACACCCCCTGCCCAGTGGAAGTCTACTTGGCCCAGCAAGTAACTCCAGACTACCTCAGGCCAAGTGGGAACAAGGCAGCATGCACCTTGCGAAGCTCCCAGTGTCTGGATGTAAGGCGTTACTCATACCCTCAGCATGTCTCCACTCCTGATCGATCGCAATCCCAAACAGAAACACAAGACTGACTTCACCCCTGCTGCAAGTGCAGCGTCAAGCTCGAATTAGCTCATAACAGTTTACTTAAAGTAACTGCAGCTGCAAGCAGCAAACTGCTTCCACACGGCAGCTGCCCACATGCAAAAGGAGATAATGCACTTTCACTGCAGCGACTTGGACCTCCTTTCAGCACGCTCTAAGCTATCTCACAAGTGCAACTGTTCCAAGTTCAACAGAAGATATATATTTACTATAACAAAATGGTAAGTTTTGTAGATAAAAAAGGCAGTTCATCATCTTTGTGGTACTTTACCTTTCAGAGAAATACAGTAGAAACTGAGACCAACCTCTCTTGGGCAGTTATAGACCTAACAGATACTCAGACTCTAGCAACTAAAACTTGGAATTCTGAGAACTATTTTTTGGTTTGGCTGTTGCCTAATACTGCACGCACTTGTGCTTGAGGCTTCAAAATGCATTTGGTTTTTCTACTGCTGGTCAACTCGTTAAGCATTTTGTGTAGCACTAACCAACAGTTTACTAGAGCTATTGATGTAATGTATTAGGAATATGACTAAAAATACTTTGAAGATGGAACTACCACAAAAATATAACCAGTATTTCTCAGGAGAATTAAAAAGCTTTACTATTATATTGTCTTTCTTCATTTAACAATTTTTTCAATTCCTCAGTCTCATATTCATCTTCTAACATGCCCAGCCTATGTAACTGCTGACTTCTGTTCTCATTTCTTGATCTCCCAGATTCATTACCATCAAAACTCAAGAATGTTGTCTCTCTGCCACTGGTGAGATGGCATTTGTCTTCTTTTATTTCTTGGCTTTCTTCTCATATAAATATGAATGTATTGTTTAAAACTCCTACCGCCAGTTTCTGTTCAGCTTGATTATGGATCCTCACTAACTCTGTTTCTTCCTTTAATTCCATTGAAATTTCTGTAACATTTTCTCATGACCTTTGTTTAACCAGCATCTGTTTTACTTTGACTCCACTTGATCAGATTCTCAGCAAATTACTGCCTTGGATTCTTCTGCTCTCTATATTCGTTTTCTGCCTTCTCTGTGGTTTTGTGTTAATCGCACTTCCTTCATCATCTGCCTTACACTGGACTCAGAGAATCACAGAATCACAGAATTGTAGGGTTTGGAAGGGACGTCTGGGGATCATCTAGTCCAATCCCCCTGCCAAAGCAGGGTCACCTAGAGCAGGCTGCACAGGACCTCATCCAGGTGGGCTTTAAGTATCTCCAGAGAAGCAGACTCCACAACCTCCCTGGGCAATCTGTTCCAGTGCTCCGTCACCCTCAGAGAGAAGAAGTTCTTCTTCATGTTCAGATGGAACTTCCTATGCTTCAGTTTGTGCCCATTTCCCCTTGTCCTGTCACTGGGCACCACTGAAAAGAGTCTGGCCCTATCCTCCTGACACCCACCCTTAAGATATTTGTAGGCATTTATAAGATCCCCTCTCAGCCTTCTCTTCCTCAGGCTAAACAAGCCCAGCTCCTTCAGCCTTTCCTCATAGGAGAGATGCTCCAGTCCCCTAATCATCTTTGTAGCCCTCCTCTGGACTCTCTCCAGTAGACTCGAACAAGTCTTTTTCCTTACCTGCTTCCCCTTCTCCTTTTTAGATCATACTACACATTCAGATACCTGCAGTTCCCATCTCTGGAATGAGGGCTCAGGTAAACTCCTTTGCATCTAACCCTGCTCTTCTATCTGTCTGTTAAATATCTTCTTAGTGTCCATTAACACAAATTAATCACAGACAAAATGAGACTCTTGCTCTGTCCTCCCCAAATCTCCTCATTGCTTCATGCTTTGTCAGTACGACTGTGCTCCCTTTGGCAAACTGCGTCAGCTATGACATCCCCAGTTCTCACTAGCTCTGTCAGAGGCATCTTGGCATCATTAAGATTTGACCTTTTTCTGTTGGTCATACAGCGAAAGCTCTTGGATGACCTCCTTGGTTGTTTCCAATAGCATTCCTCTTCAGTGGATACTTCGCTCTCTGCACATAGATGTATAAGGAAAGGCTGAAAAAACAATCTTTTCTTTTCTCTATAACCTTGTACAATCACATGTGACTTCAATATTTTTACACTTCTTCCAACCAGATCAAATTTTGAACCCTTAACTGACTCTCCCAAATTATCTGCATCTCTTACACTGTCAGTTGATGACTCACATGCTTGTAAGAGCAATGCTGACATTTCATTTGCTTTCCAAGGCTGTCTTCCTTCCATGTTGCCTCATAAAGAGACCTGCACCTTTTGATTTGGCCTGAAAGTCTATTCAAACACTGATCCTTCCTCTGGTCCCATTTCTATCTCAATATGTAAAGCAGAGCAGCAAATAAACCGAACAGGCTGAGGAGCACTCCCACTTTATAAAATTTGATAAAGGTAGGCAGGCAACAGATTATTATTAACTTCAGTGGTGCACTTCTCCACAGCACCCTCCTCGCTAACTCACCACTTCTTGGCCCATTTAGACTAATAGTATTTTCATCCAGGAACTGTTAGTATTTCTGAACAATGTCTTGCATATCTTCATGCTACACTACCATAATTGATCAAAAGAACTACAGCTTCTGTTATTTTTGTAAAGGAACTTTAACAAAAAGTAGTCAAAACTAGTATTTCACTGTTAGACAATTTTAGGAAGCATGTAGACTTCAAGAATTTTTTCCTTTTATTTGCTTGGCGTAAACCTAAAAAAATCATGTAAGCTAAATATGCGTCACTTGTTCTCACAAATCTCATCAAGGCTCTTCAGTGTGTGCACTACACAGGGTTATCATCGCTGTCAGTGTAACTGCAGTAAAGAGACTGCAGCATTGTAGCATAAAACATGCTGAGCCTATTCATCCATTACAGTCAATAGTGTTACAGTAGGGATTATTCTGTTCTTCCTATGGTTTATTGTTTAAATGTAGATACTGCTTTGTAATATAGTTTTATGCTGTCGAAAACCTGTCTAATTCATGCCACTTAATGGATGGTTTAAGCAGACCGCTATTTTGCCTCTTAGGAATCATTTCCCTGGATAAAAGCAAATTAATGCATTTTACTTATATTCAGATAACATAGAATTGCATATTAATCACATACCCATGGCATTCTATGGAAATACACATCTACTGCTGGGATGCTAATTAAAATCAGTCTTACTTACACAGAAAATACTTTTTCTGAAATATATTTACAATAAATGAAATATGTTTCTGGGCCCATTTCTGTTAGGTACAGGAGAAGATTATTTTCATTACTTGGCAGAATCAGATGTGATGAGACTAAATATCCAGCAAACAGAACACGTGTATTGTGAGTTTATCTTATTAATCAGTTTTGTCCTAGAATACAATGCTTTGTGAAAAACTAAAGCTTTGCATGTTGGCAGTAAATACTAGGAATGGCATCTTCAGTCAGAAGAGAACACTCTGAGGTGAATGTGTTTCTCTTGCACTGAAAAATGTCTCTCATGAAGAATGAAACCACATGAGATCTTTTTAAAGCCAGCATCACTCACCAAGTCTTCCAGTCTCTTCTGTAGCCTTGTTTGCCACTGGACAGCTTGCATGACGATGGCTTCCCACCTCCTCTCAAGGTTTACAATTATCAGCTGCATGGACTGGTGATCCGCATTTAGGTTGCAGGTCTCCTGGTCATCCAGGAGGTGCTGGCATAATCGCAGCACAGAGGCTACGCCACGGCGTCTCTGTTTGATCTCACAGCATAGAGACTGCAGGACAGATAAACAACAGATGTCAGTGTGGAATACTTTGCAAATTAAAACATTAACTATTATCTGATATTTAATGGTGCCCAGTTTCTGTCTTACAACAGTTTTTTCAGCTCTTCCATAAATTCCCATAGTTAGTGTCCAAGCCTACTGTTTTATTTTCAGATAAACAGTCTCAAGCTTAATAGCACAGAAGGAGTAAAGCTACATTCAGTCTCCTTCAAACAAATGCCATACATAGCTAACTGTTTCAATAATGTTGAAAGTTTTATGGTGTAGACTTCCTTTTTTTTCATTCAACTGGGACACATCTGAAATGAGTTACTCTGACAGTAATCACCCTCAGAAAGTCTTCAGGAAAAGACAGGGGAAAAAATTGTATTCATGCAATGATTTGTTGAAAAAACAATAGAAATCATGGGTCATAGGTACCTTGTCAGAGGAGAAACCTTAAGACAGGAGAAAATTTAGTATAAAATTCTTTACAGATGCTTTTTGTTATCATAAAATATTTCCAGGGAGTTCCTCAATTAGATGTAGGAACAGTATGATAACTGTATCCTTCTTAAAGATGAGTTATTCACTGCATTTATTTCATCATAACCATTCCAGTGCTACCAAGAATGCAGTTTGATGTGAACTGCATGGTGGGAGACAATCGCTAAGCCCTAACATTGCAGAATGCTGATGGGAGCCAGGATATGTTGGTTCTACGCCAGAAACCTAAGTAACTAACTGAGAATCTCATTGAACAGCAATATAAATAAGGCATCTTACATGCCAAAACTAATAAGAGATCTACCACCCGGAAGCAGTTAATGGCCTGAGGTGCTTTCGAGCATGGTTTTATTCACAATCACATTCTACCGTCATTTAACATCAAATCAGGATTTTATGAACTCTAAATGTGTTTTAATAGTAATGTCTATGAAGCTGGGGTACACAAGGCACAAACACATCCAAGGATGACTGCTTCAGCCCAGCTTCTGAGAGCCTATACTTTTACAGCATTGCATGGTTCAACTATTCAACTATTGTCCTAGGCCTGTGCTACTCCTGCATTTAACAGGACCATGCTCCACACGTGGGAGCCTTCCAGATAATTTAAATTGTGACTTGCCAACATCTGTTTCCCTCTGTGGGATGCCACAGATGAAAGTGCATGACCCCATAAGAAAATCTGAACTATCATCTGTTTTGAAGACAGGGTATTTGCCTTTAAGCTTCCAGTTAATCATAATAAGCAAACAAAAAAAACCCCACCTCATCTCTCAAAGCTGTTCATAAGCGTTAGCTGATAAAAAATCAGGACCTGCCCTCCTGAATTTTATTAGCAAAACAGCAACATTCGACAGAAAGTGAATTCAAGTTCCAGATTTTCATATCACCTTTTCTTTAAAAAATTGAATTTATACATAGAAATATTGTACCTCAGATGAGTATTTTGGCGCTGGAATTATGTGCTTGATCAATAATACTAAGCTGAAAGTCTGAAGCAAAACACTGGTATACACATCTAAAAGTATATATCTTTGCTTTGCCAATGGATTGTGTGCAAGCGATTTTTTTTGTTCAAAGCCTTCAAGAGAAATAATGATTAAACCCACAAACATAGCTGAATTACTAATCTACTTTCACTGGCACAATTGGGCCTTTCTAACAGTTAACAGATTGCTTATTAATCAACAAGGGTAAACAAGACAATGCAATCTCATTTAAAGCAGAAGTTCTAATGCCTAAAAGTATTTGTGTTCAAAATGTTAACCCTGATAAAGCTTCATTAGAAGACATCTTAAAATGATTAAGTACATTTCATTGTAAAGTACACTGAGTAGTATATCAGCAGGTGGACATTTCACACAGATGTTCCACTTATTGATATAATGCATTCTATAGCTATTTAAATTACCCTAACTGTGTAATAGCTACAATTCTATTACTTCTATAATGAGAGAACGCTGTACCTTTAATATTTCTGAATTTTAAATAAGGTGAATGACAAATTCCCAAACCACTATTTATGGCAAAATATGACCAGGAATTTTATTATTCAATTTATACCAGAGCTGCAGTTTCACTTACATTTCCTGAACTTGCCCTTATTTATTTTCCTAGAGTAATTTCTAGTTTCCTACATAGCTGTTGATGTAACCACCATGTTTGGCACGTATCCTTTCTGATGCTGTTCATTAGCCTAACGTCGCATCAGAAAAAAAAATCCAAACCAAACCAACCCAAACCAAACAATCTACCTAAAGTCAGGGTTCTTATTTTACATTGTATAACAGCTAAAGCAATTCAGTTTTATGGAAATGATGGTAAGTTATATATTAATGGCAGTCAAATCTATGTAGATCTGCATTAACTTCATGGAAGTCAATACAGCCCAGGAGCTGGCCCTATAACATTAACTTACCTTGATCTACCTGATTATGTCATCCCTTATAAATATTGTTCATTTTTGAAACAATACCATATAATATGATGAGGTAAGCCATACTTTGTTCATAAGCCATTATATGGGAGTTTAAGTGAGGCCTTTACACAGTGTTATCTGCGAGCAGAGCTGCAGCATCCAAGTCATCTCTAATTTACATCAGTTTTACACCAGCATAATAACAGTAGCTTTACTGAAGCTATTTCTGATTTACATGGCTGTGACAGTACAATTAGGCCTATGGCACTTTTGTTTCAATTTTATTACATGATATTATGGTTAATATTAAACAGGAGAAGAATGAAGTGCTTGTATCTAACAGTGTGTTGAAAGAGTTTGCTATAGCAACAATGCTTTAAAAGCCAGAGAACTTAATCATGTAAAGACATCTTTAAACCCCATATAATAGCACTAGCAACAATGAATCTAAGCAGTATTAGGGTCCGGTATACAGCGTCGTAAAGGGACACAATAGTTGCCTCTATCCTATGACATGACTTCTCACAGCATTGTGTATCCATCCATGTTCTGCTATGGTTAAAATGTCACGCCTCTATAAAAACCTGTCAATATGGTAACCGTACATGCAAAGCATGCTTCCAGGACCACGGTCACTTTAATTATTTGCAAGGTACATTCCACATTGTGAGTTAACAGCTATAACTCATGATTAATGAAAAAAAGGAAAAGAAAGATGATCATCATCTCTACTGAGGCTTGGGCCTGATGTTCCACAGCTGCTACAGCAAGCTACCGGGAACTTGACAGTTCAGAAAATTAGGAAATGATCTAACAGCAGACTGAGAAGCATCACTCAGGCTCGCTTAGTCTCCTGTGTGCAGAAGATTTGCTGAAGTATAGATTAAGAGATCAGGCACTTTCGATTGTGGTTCCTCACACTATCATGTGTCCGTTGAGCTGTGGTAACTGTAAATACAACCCAAACCTTTGCAAATGTGTGAGAAACACATTCACTGAAATCATTTGTAGTGAGACTTGATGTGTTTGACTTTTTTGCTGCAGGCTGAGAGTATAAACAGTAACTGCAGCTGCTGCGTATGAACTTGACTTTGTGTCCAAGTCCTTTGCTTTGCAGCAGATACCCTGATAACATTGAGGTGTTATTCATTATAATGTTATTACGAGTCATATTTTCCCATACTAAGGATTCCTGTCTGTGGTGTTAAAATCTTGAAAGATTTTTCTTCCCTCTGCCTACTCGTATTTTCAGTGCTTTGAAGTTATCACCCGCATAGCTAAAAAGGGCTAGCTGAACCTACTTTCACAGCTTGTTAATACCATGCCTTAAATCATCTGGAAAAGCCCCTGCTGAGTCGAACGACATCAAACGCTCTTTCCAAGCCATGGGCTAATGGCACTATCTATGGGGATGGAAGTAGCCATGATCCAAACAGAAGGTGCTCTGCATAGCTGCGTGACTCCTAAGTGAACAGCATATGACCAGAAACATGTGTGCAGCTTTAGGCAGTGCCAGAGAGTGTGGAAGCATAGAAAGGTGGGAAGTTGAGGAATATTAGAGCCCCTCAAGCCTCAGTCCCCCTCCACCCCTCAGCCTTCCTGCAGTGTATCAGTGCCTGGGCTGTGCCACACCACCTGCTCTGCCCGACTGACGGACATGGATGGGAGGTCGGCTTTCTCACACAACATGGTAGATGAGTTGGCCACTGAAGCACTGGTACATCAAGGTTCTTGAGCAGGTGTTTAATATTAATCATTTAGAAGTACTAAGGTTCTCATTGAATTCAGTGGGTCGACTTGTGCTTAAAAACATTTAAAAATCAGTTTAAGATTAGTTCAGTTCACTTAAATCCATGTAATCCACATATCATCACTACATAAAACGTTAAGACACGATTTTTGTGGCATCATTTTTTATGTATTGTTTGGGGAATTCATTTTTATGTGATCTGAAGTTCTTTCAACCATTTCCAACTTTCTTGGTTTCACTCTACAATTAGGAATAATAAAGATCCATGTAGAGGTGCCCAGAGCTTAGAAAACAGTTAGAAGGTGACAAATGGTAGCTTACACAGATGGATTTTCTTTGTGCTTTCAGGTCCAGAAAAAATCATAGAATCATAGAAAGTTCTGGGTCGGAAGGGACCCCTAGAGGTCATCTAGTTCAACCCCCCTGCAGCGAGCAGGGACACCGCTAACTAGATCAGGTTGCTCAGAGCCCTGTCCAACCTGGTCTTGAATGTTTCCAGGGATGAAATGCCAAGCTATACTGAGACAAAGCTATTTCTAGGCTTATGTGGCATTTCTGTGTATGGGCAATGTTGGGTGTTTTTAGCAAAATGAAGGAAGCTTGACTGCAGATAAATCTGGAATGACCAGATCCAAGATGAAGTTTCTATATAACCTTGGTCTGTTAAAGGCTTACTCTTTCTCCTTGTTACGGTATGTGGGTATGTGAGGGAGGGAATGGTACCCTTCCTATTGCATTGTTGGTTGCCTGATGGAAGACAAAATAAACTTGGAACTGTTGCTATTTAGTACAACAGCCATACGAAGAAATTAAGGTAAAATCTGAGAACAGAAG